AGTTTGGTGATATTGGTTGATAGAATTCTGTCATTGATTGTATCTGCTTTAGCTTTAGGTTGAATTTTTGGACTTAAAAACCAAGAACCAAATCAAAATTGGGACCCCATCCATCAACTCATAGATATTATTTTTTTATGAGTTCCCATTTAGATAGCTAATTGGCATTTGATTTATCACTTTTAGCCTAATACTAATTACTTTGTAATGTTTTCTGTATTAGTTACCTATTTGTGTAACAAATTATCCAAAAATTAAGTTTAGGCTGAAAATAATAAACATTTATTATCTTATTCTTTTTTTTTTTTTTTTTTTTTGAGTTGAGAATTCGGAAGCAGCCTGTCAGGTGATTCTGGCTCAGGGTCTCAAGCTCAACTGAGGGAGGATTCATTTCCAAGCTTACTCATGTGGTTGTCACGCAGCCTTAGAACACCTGCTTCCAAGTTACTCACGTGGCTGTCGGTAGGCCTCAGGACTCTGGCTGTTGGCCAGAGACATCAATTTCTTGGCCACCTGGGCTTCTCCATGGGGCTGCTCACAATATGGCAGCTTGTTTACTCTAAAGTGAAGTATCTGAGTGAAAGCCCCCAAAACAGAAGCCAGTCTTTTTATAACCTAATTTTGGGAGTGATAGCCTGTTACTCTGCTAAATTCTGTTCCTTGGAAATGAGTCACTAAATCCAGCCCATACTCAAGAGGAGGCAATTACAGAAGGGCTTGCATACCAGGAAGAGGTGGGATCGTTGTGGGCCATTCTAGAGGTTGCTCACTACACTATCCTTTAAAGTTGAAAACTTTTTGTTACTGCAGAATTCTTTCTTGGAAGGAAAGCTTATGGGGGAAACTAAAAATAAAAGTAGATAAATAAGAAATTCTGCCCCGGGCACCTGAGTGGCTCAGCCGGTTAAGCATCTGCCTTCGGCTCAGGTCATGATCCTGGGGTCCTGGGATTGAGCCCCACAGCTGGCTCCCTGCTTAGCGGGGAGTCTGCTTCTCCCACTCCCTCTGCTGCTCCCTCTGCTTGTGTGCACGTGCTCTCTCTCTCTGTCAAATAAATAAATAAAATCTTTAAAAAAAAGAAATTCTTCTGTCCAAAACAGGGGTTCTAGGGCGGTAGATCTTAGCTGTCATCCTTCCCCTTTAGCTGCCAAACAATTTGAATATTAATATCTTTACCATCAAACATCAATCAAGGACATGAATAAATACTGTTTTTCTCATATTTTCATTTTAGGATTTGTCAACAGTTGTAAAATTCTAGCTTATAAAAATCAGGTATTACAACATGGAAAACAATTTGTGTAAATGTTTCTGGCAACTTTTAAAGTCAAGTAACTTCCTTTAGTAAAGTAAATCTAATGTAATGCCTGGTTTTGTAGCATTAGGAGATATTATTTATATGTTGGTGTGATAATGCTGTTAATCAGTTTGTTTTTGTAGTATTAGCAGATGTAATTTATGTAGTGGTGTGATAATGATAGTGATTTACTTACTAACTGCTGCCTGAAATGTTTTATTAACTATTTCCAAATTATATGTATTTCTAAAAAATCACAAATGTATAGTGGTATTTGAAATTCAATTTTAATATTAACATGTTCTTATTGCTTTTATGCTGTAAATTGTAATTCCTAATCAGTAACATAAATTACCTATTTTCTTTATCGTGCAGTATAAAGAATATAGCTTCAAAATAATAGTACCAAAATTAATAACAAACAATAAATCTGTAAGTTTAGAATTTTTTTATGTAGTTCTTTTAGTCCTTAGACTATATCCCTCTAAAGGTGTATAAAATCATTTGAAAACTACTTCTGGGTGGTTATGTCAACAGTTTGATATATAGTTAGATTCTGGGCATTGTTTCCGAATGCTTTATTTATCTTAATTCCTTCTACTGCCCTGCAAAACTAGGTTCTTTTGTTATCCTTATTTTACTGATGAATGTAGTTTTTGCCATCTTGATTTTAAGTTAATTTATGTTAACAAGAAAATAGTACTGGTTTTGTTTGTTTCTCTATGGATTGCTGTAGTGGGAAGTAGGGGATAAAACTGAGGGAAAGGAAAATTTTAATTAGGAATTGAGATGGTGTTTATAATTTGGGGACCTTGAGGGTATATAATGGGACTGAAAGGGCAGTGAGTCATAATGGACTTAGTTCAATTCAAATATAAACACACATCCCCCCCATGTTTGTTTACATATGAGCCATCAGTAACATCACTTAAATATGTGTGAGTATATGTATAATACTAAATTTTATTATGATGTTACAGGATTCCAAGTCCAGGATTTACTGTGAACAACCTTCTACAACTGTAATACTTTACATTAGAATTTTATTTTTTTATTAAGATTTTTATTTATTTAATTGAGAGAGGGCGAGCACAAGCAGGGGGAAGCAACAGGCAGAGGGAGGACCAGACTCCCCACAGAGCAGGGAGCCTGATGCGGGGCTCAACCCCAGGACCCTGGGATCATGACTTGAGGCGAAGGCAGACATTTAACGACTGAGCCACCCAGGCGCCCCTTACATTAGAATTTTAAATCTTAATTGAAAATTAGAAAATAAAGTGCCTGGAATCATCACAACCAATTGTAATTTAAATTGCTTCTAGCCAAAATATGTCCAAACCAGTGAGTAGTATTGGAAGTGAAAGTTAGCTCCACAGTTTCTTCTGAGCAGTTTTTTCACAAGTTCAGAGTGATTTTATGGAGTAGATTTTCATTACTGAAATGCTTCATTTGGGTTCTTAATTACTAAGGAGTACCTTTTTGTGGTTGAGTGTTGTAATTATTAGAGCTCACACAAGATAGTTTTGAATAGAGGATCCTAATTTCTGGAATTTCTTTTCTAAGTTATTCTGATAAAATCCATGTTAGTTGAGCTTATGGCATGATAACAAATAGCTTTCAGTGTTGGTCTCTAAGTGACCCTTTTGGTTACTTTAAAATATTTTCAAGATATCGTAATTCTCTTGAGTTACTTTAAAAATGCAGTTGATTCTGTTTTAAATTCATGAGTCTAAATGGAGACTGCATTTGCTGTAAATAAAAATTGGAAATTTTTAGTAAGTGACATCTTTTATTCGAGCAAAAGGATAAAATATTTGGATTATTGCACCTGTATCTGTTTTATTAATCCAAACATGTAAGACCTTGTGCCAGGTACTTGTTCACTCTCAGGTAATAGAAGTTAACTAGGAATCTAGAAGAGTTAACTAGAAGACCCTTTTGATATTTATTTCTGTATTACAGTTAGAAATGGAGGTCTGTGTAGTGCCCCTGTTTGTATGAATGGGTCATTTAAAAACAAATGCAGGGGCGCCTGGGTGGCTCAGTTGGTTAAGCAACTGCCTTCGGCTCAGGTCATGATCCTGGAGTCCCTGGATCGAGTCCCGCATCGGGTTCCCTGCTCGGCAGGGAGTCTGCTTCTCCCTCTGACCCTCCCCCATCTCATGTGCTCTCTCTGAATTCTCTCTCTCAAATAAATAAAATCTTTAAAAAAATAAAAAATAAAAACAAATGCAGTAATTACTATTTTTTAAAACTCAGATTTATTTTAAAAAGTATATGATTTTTCCAATACAATTTATATCTTTAAATTAAGTAGGAATCTAGCAAAAATTTTGACATGTGCTGTCAACCTTTACTAAATACAAACATGTCATAATGAGTGAAATGTAAGATTTTCATTAGAATTACATTTTCAGCTTGTTTTTGTTGAATAAGTTTATACACCATTTTATCTTACTTTTATTTATTTATTTTGTATTTTATTTTCTTTAATTAACATATAATGTATTATTTGTTTCAGGGGTACAGGTCTGTATCCTATTTACTTTTATTTATTTTTATTTTTATTTTTTTTAAAGATTTTATTTATTTATTTGAGAGACAGAGAGCATGAGAGGGAGGAGGGTCAGAGGGAGAAGCAGACTCCCTGCCGAGCAGGGAGCCCGATGTGGGACTCAATCCCGGGACTCCAGGATCATGACCTGAGCCGAAGGCAGTCGCTTAACCAACTGAGCCACCCAGGCGCCCCTCCTGTTTACTTTTAAAACAAAGGAAAAACTGGGCCGCCTGGGTGGTCAAGTGTTGGACTCTTGGTTTCAGCTCAGGTCCTGATCTCAGGGTTGTGAGATCGAGCCCCACTTTCTATCCCTCTTCCTCTGACCACCCATGCTGTGCTCGATCTTTCTCTCTCTGTCAAATAAATAAATTTCTAAACAAAGGAAAAGCTATACATTATCTTCGATTTGTTTCCATGGAATTAAGAACCATAAACACCTTACGTTTCCTGAAGGTAGTAGATGATTATTTAACAGCATAATGGTAAAAGGGTGGAGTATTACGGAAACATATCTGTATCTTCAACAGGAACTAGTGTTTGAAGCCATCATTTCTGTAGTATGTTAAAGTGAACATGTACCTGATTAATATGTATTGAGTTAAAGGTAATAGAATATTTTCATGTGAGCTTGAAGATGAAATTCTTCTGAGGAGACCTTTTTTTTTCTTTTATTAGAAGTCAGGGTTTTTTGTTGTTTTTAATGACAGGACCATTTTTGGCAATATTTAAAAAGCGTAACAGTTAATCAAAACTTTGTACAAGTATTTAAAATCAGCATTATTATTTATCGGTGGCCTGGCATACATTTATATGTGTGTGTGCGCTTGGTTTCTGATAGGTGACAAATGGCTATTTTAAAGACTTACTGAGTGATAAAAAGGAATTGTATTGATGTTTTTTTATCTGAAGTCTTATAGATTGTTAATTCACTGTGGCCTCTACACCAAAATTTGGTGAATGTTAATGACAGTGGCTAGTTAAGAAATGACAGATTTTTTTTTTTTTTTAAAGATTTTATTTATTTATTTGACAGAACGTTAGCAAGAGCGGGAACACAAGCGGGGAGAGTGGGAAAGGGAGAAACAGGCCTCCCACAGAGCAGGGAGCTCGACGCGGGGCTCGATCCCAGGACCCTGGGATCATGACCTGAGCCGAAGGCAGACGCTTAACGACTGAGCCACCCAGGCGCCCCAAGAAATGGCAGATTTTGATCAACTAATTATCCTTGTACTAATATTAAAAAGTGATGGTGTTGTTTCAGTAAAATGGAATAGTCTAATAGCTGATATTTTTGTATATTAAAATATAGCTGTTATTATAGTGGGAATTTAAAAATGAAACCATTCAAATCATATTTTCTTTTCCTTCTCTTTCTGATAGTGCCAAAAGTTTCTGTTGACATTGTAGTTAGCAAATTGTTTTTGTGTTTACTTTGGGGCATGCATATGCAGTTATCTGGTGAATTTACACCCCTTTCCCCTGTAGTTCTATGTGTATTAATAATCTCAAATAAAATTAATCTTCTTATTCTGCTAGAGAAGAAAAAGCTGGATCACTTACCAGTAACTGGAGTTCTCCTATTGGGTAATCTCCACAGATCCACATTCTTTGAAGTTATTGCGAATGCCTCGAGGACCAAGGAACCGTTGAAATTTCCAATTTCAGGAAGGTAAGCAAGTGCACTGAAGCATGTCTCTAGCATTCCCAAATCCCCTCTCCCCAACTTTCTTACATATACGTCTGTACTGCATGCCCCCTCAGTTCCAGTGGATGCCCATCAGGAAGATTCTCATGCTGGACAGAAGGGCAAGAGAGGTGGATCTGTGAGGGAAAAGACCCAATAGGATAACTCAAGTTACTGGTGAGTAATCTAGTTTTCAAAAACTTGAGATTTTTTTCTCACATTTCTTCTCTTTAGAATGAGTTTGTTTAATTACAAAGAAGAAAGTTGTTTGAGATAGCTTCATTTTGTAAATTTGATGTAGATTATGGAATTTATTGTATGGATGATAAATACCTAGTTCTTAATGGGTGTATGAATAAGTGTGACATTAATTTTAAAGAGTATCACTTACATAATAGCTGTTTATAAAAATTATATATCTATTACCTTCTGGTAAATAGTGTAATACTTCTAAAGCAATTTAAGGAAGCTATATGTTGAATTATTTTATAAATTCCTTTATTTGTGATGTTGCTTTTACATGAAGTATATACTTACACTGTAAAACTTAGGCTTATGCCAAATTTGGCCAAATTCTTCTGGGATAGTACTGAATAACAAAAAATAATCTTATATTAATCGACTAGCACTTCTTACTGATACAGTTTTCAGTGTACCTTTTAGCTTCATTGTAGGTATATTTGGAAAATAATTCAGGGTGTGTTTACCACTTCCTTGTTCATATAGATGGACTTATTAATTGGTTTATTGTGAGTCTCTGCTTCCACAGGTACCAGACAATTTATTGAACTGGCATGTAAATATTAGAATTGGACAGAATTCCTTGCTTCTAATTTCTCTCTCTCTCACTTATTCTGCTTTGTTACCAGGTTATCCTTTCTAAAAGGGCACTTTTAACACATAAAGAGCCTGTAGTGGTCCTCTGTTCAAGTTGTTTTACAAAATTTTCATCCATTTGCTGGTTACTTAAGGCCTCTCATAATCCAGTCCCATCCTGTTTATCCAGCCTTTTAAATTCTTCACTTTGAAACTTTTCTTTTGGTCTTACTTGTTTACTTGTTACATTTATGCTTTGGGGCTTGTACTTTGCCATTTTTAAAAAAATGACTTTCTTTTTATTCTACTTTTCGATACTCTAAGGCTGAGATCAGGTCCTATCCCTTATACAGTTCCTTTTATGCTAGCATCTCTCTGTGACCTCTGTTTCCTCAGTGGAAAAATGAGATTGCTATGAGAATTGAATTAATTAATTTGTGGAATGTACTTAGAACAATTCCGAGTAGCACATTGTAAACACTCTTTTTAACTATTATTTGATTAAAGATGGAACATTTCTGTGATTATGGGTATAATTTTCATCTGTATGACAGAGTTTAGCCTTTAGATATTAGCTGTGGTGGTATTGCTATTTCTTCGATATGAAACTCTTACGCTGATTTGTATGATCATGGAAAACAAAAATGGGATTTTATTGTTTTTAATTTTATTTAGTTCCTAACATCAGAGACTGGGATTAAATTATACCCATTAAAAAATAGTTTTTCACGTAGTTGATAGAAAAAACTTAGTTTTTCATGAATATATTTACTAGTTTTCTCATTTATAAAACAGGGTCATTTGGCTTATCAATCCTGTTTGTATTGTCAATTTTTCTTAAGAACAACAGTTTTTTCCCTTTGAAACTGGAATAGTGAAATTATAATTGTTTAGGGCAATATAAATTTCTTCTATGGGACATTAAAATAGAATGTATAGTTTTGAGAGAGTTAACTAGTTTGGCTTCATTTTAAGACTTTGTGTAGTGTTAGAAAACAAACTGGAAGTTCAGTGTACTTGATTTTTGAGGTTTAATTATCTTAGAAGACTATTGCTTGATTTTCAGAAATGTTTGGTTTTAAGATTACCTGTCTGAAGAAGCAGTAGATGAAATCTAATTTCAGGTTGCTGAAGGAAGGGAATGACAGATTGAGTGTCGCTTTTAAATAGTCACCAGAGAACCAATTCAGGTCCAATTAGACAAGCCAAAGTAAAGAATATTTAGATAACTTAAGTGCTTGTTGTGAATTTCCTTCTGCACATCCAGTTTCAGCGTTTCTTTGGTATAATAGTGCTATGGTATATATTAAGAATATCCTTATTCTTTATTCTTTAGAGATACATACTGAAAATTTTAGAAGGAAATATTATGATGGGTTCAGAAAAAAAGTGTGGGTATTTGGGTGTGTTGTGTATATGTGTGTAGAGAGAGATATAAGAAGAGATAAAGCAAATGTGGCAAATGTTAACAATTTTGAATCTAGGTGAAGGGTATATAGGGTATACATTGTACTTTCAACTTTTCTGTGGTTTTGATATTTTTCAAAAAAAAAAGTAGAAAGTATTTTAAAAAGAACTGTATTGTGCTTCAATTTCTCTAATTCTAAAATGGGAATAATAGAACTTTTCTTTCTATGCCTTGATACCGGTAGGCACAGTGGGGGGTACATTTGGTAGAATAGCAGTCAAGAGAACTTTTAAGAAGTGGGTTTTTTTTTTTTTTTGACATTAAAGAAGAGTTTGATAGCAGACAACTTTCAAAGTACATTTCACGTAAAAGCATATTAGCTTAAAATATATCCCTTTTTCTTATTCAGAGCATATTGCATTATAATTGAACAAGAGCAGTCAAGAAGCAATAAATATGTAGAAATAAATGAAGTAACTAATTGAAATTGAAAAATACAGCTAGTTATAAAATAACTCCATAAATGGGCAAAAAAGATTAGACTTAGCTGAAGAGAGAAGTTGTTAATTTCAAGATAAAACTGATAGGGCGCCTGGGTGGCTCAGTCGTTAAGCGTCTGCCTTTGGCTCAGGTCATGATCCCAGGGTCCTGGGATCGAGTCCCGCATCGGGCTCCCTGCTCGGCGGGAGGCCTGCTTCTCCCTCTCCCAC